ACAAAGACTTAATCATCATCGGCAGTTGGACGTGCAAAAGAAAGACGCAATCTAAAGAGTCTTTTTTTTCTTTCACTCAAAAACGAAACTAATGGGCTGTTGTTGGACGGAAAGTATTTCTGCTCCTTCATATCGATTGAATTCCATATTGAGTTTGGCGATGTGCGGCGGTAATGGTAAAAAGTGCACAATCATTACCAAAAATTCTTTTTTCTTTGTGGGTATGTTTGCATTTGGTTTATAAAATCCATATGAATCGACTCACTGTTCGCCACTGAGTTATACAAGAGCGAGCGTCCGTGCACACATAACGTAAGTGTAATTTGGTAAGTACTTAAATGGGCGCGACTGAGAAAGAACGAAGAGTGCGCGCGGCATTGCTTTTTATGCCTTTGTACATGATCGGCAACATTACAAAGCATATCACGCTAATGGGCCAAATATTATTGTGTATGAGCGCGCGGGCGCACAAACATTACTGGCTGCATTGGTAATGCGAACCGGAACGATTGGCGAAAAGCAAAAACCACAATGCAACAACAAAAAAACCAAATAAAAAGTAAAGAAGCGCGCACACAGTTCAAAATCTCACATCTCACCTTTAGTAACATTTCGTATATATAGTTTTGTCTTCACCTCGTGTTACGCACGCTCTCTCGCTTATCTCCACAGCAGCCGCATCATTGCAATTCAGTTTAACAATAAAATAAACATTTTTCTTGCACTTTTTTTTGCGTGATCGTCTCTTCCCTCTCTCTCACTTACTCTCTCTCAAAGAGCACATTTCAATTTCAATTTTAGTGAATTGGCAAAGGATTCGGTTGTGTGTCGGATGCGTTTATGAGCATTTTTTCGATGAAAAATGACCAACTGAATTGTTTGTGGCCTTTTGTTTTCGATCGCCTTCAGTCACCTTTCGCTCCAACTTTGAGATACGTATATATTCTTGTGTTGATTTATCAGAACCACAAGCATATTATCATCAGTAATAAAACAGAATCACGTGCACTTTGTTCCTTTTCTTTTCACCCATTTACTCATTGATTTTCGAGTGTATTTGCGCTCTTTACTTGCTCTTCGCAAATGGAATTTGTTTGAAGGAGCTTTGTATTTTATCTTACTCTCTCTCTCTCACTCACTCTTTCTCTTTCTCTGTGTGTCTTATTTCAGAAGTATTTTATTCGATGTGTATGTTTTCGTTAAGTAAACGAACGGGTCGATCAGTAGCGGCAAAATCATCAAACCTGATCAAGCGCATATTCTGAATATTTTCTGCTCCTTTTATTTCATTCAATTTTTGAAAGAGAACATGCATTGTCGGCAGATTTTGATGCCAGAGTGTACAATTAATTTTCGTATGTGTGATATACGAATTGAGCAGAAAATCAACTCTTTCGGATCAAAGGCGAGGCGAATATGCCGCTGGTAGCCGATGTGAACCCGTATGAGAAATGATTGTGTGGAGTTATTTTCGGTTTTTCATTTATTATTTACAGCATTTCTGTGACAACATCGCACAAATTCTCACATAATCTTGAGTAATTAAAAAATATATTTGATTTGTCATTGCAATTGTCGTCGTCTTCGTTTAGAAGTGTTATAAACATAAATTCTGAGCTAAATAAACAAATAACATTCGATCGATGAATAAATTTTAAAATTTTGAATATGTCCTTAGGTGTTGATTTTGCACTACCTACGAACCGTCTTAGGCAATAACAAATAAATCAAATTGTTTCCAATTTGAGCCCACGTCGCATTTGAAAAACTGGTAATAAGTATTAAATCAATCAACAACGAACTATTATATATTTCCCATAAGTTTCACAACAGAACTAAAACGATAAAGAGGTGTTGAGAAGAAAAAAAAAATGTCACCCAGTATTTATTACCTAGTTGAATACTTGAAATTGGTACTGTTTCTCATAGTCTAATTATAATAAATTTCAATTATTGGCGTATCAAAACCTGAAAGCGATAATCGAAATACCAACCATATTATGTGAAACAAATTGAGCGTGCTCAAGCTCAAGGTGAGTGACAAACGAATTAAATTGTGTTTAATAAGTACTCGATGTGTTCGCGTATGTTGTTAGCATATGACGTACAACTGAAATTATTACCGTTTTGCTGCATTTCATTTGGATGTTGTAATTATACCGATCTATTCCCCGATTGACGGAAAATGAAGAAATCAGGTTCAGACAGGGAATATAAAAATGAATTAGATTCATTTTTGAATTACTCTAATCATGATTCACTACTTAATGTTCAAAACTAACAACCTGCTATCGATGCATCATCAGCTGTTACAGCTGCACGAACCACCACTTGCAACGCAACTATTTCTAACAGAGAATAAAAAAGGATGAACGGTAATCATTTCATCCACTCTGAATGCCATTAGGTTTTTCCACCTTGCTTTGTTACCACTTACCTGCTTCTCATGTCGACGTCTGTAATCTAGGTCGGTGTTACAATTTCTTTAAATCCGAAACAAAAAGGTCAGTTTTTTATTATTTGAAAAAAAAAGAGAAATAAAATAAAAAACAAACCTCGAACCCCTGTTCTATCAAGCTGAAGTGTTCTATATTTGGATGCAGATGCATCCAATCAACGGAGGGAACAAACGACGCTTATTGGCTTATTGTTACCTACAAACTCAACAACAACGACACCCTCAATTCAGTCACACAATGCTGCAATCTAATTAATATTTATTCATATTCATATTTATCGCTATTACGAACGCCATAAAAAAATGAATACACTTGTCAGTGTATTTTCCTTCTACGATTCCGTTTGATGTGTAATGCCACACGCAAACAGATGCATAAATGATTTCTATTGTTTGGCTAAAACATTTGTAATTAGTGTCAAAAACATGAGAAATGCGAAAAACATGTTGGAAAAAAGTGAAATTTTATCTGTACACGCATATATTTGTTATTATTTCTGTGTAAGCAAAGAAAACTTACACGTTTGGCAATGAACTTTAGCGCATTTACTCTCTTCTCACAAACAATGAAACTTACACTTTTCACGATGGAAACAGTGCAATTCGTATAAATGTTTCAACATACGATATATTAAATCTCGGTGGGATTTTCCAAATCATGCACTATTGTTGCATACCGATTTGAAGCTCTACAAACGGTTCGAATTACCTAAAAACAGATACCTGCGTTTCTAACCCATTGATATTTATCGAACAAAATGAAACGATACCATTGCTGTTAGATTAACGCGTCCGCTTCAATGGTCTTTGAAGTTGATCGATGATGTGATTTCTATTCGGTCGACTTAAAATAGTCATCTCACCGAAAACGCCATTCTCATTATGGATATGGTTAAGTGATAAATCAAATGAAAACAAACTAGATCCTAATTTGCATAGATATTCTGTTCTCATAAACAAACTGTATATTTAAAGTAGAGAAAAAAATAACAACAACAAATGTAAAAGCGTTAAGAATCAAGTATTTAATTACTAGTTCGGCTACTTGATTTAAATACGCAGAATTTCAAATATACGATTAAGAGATCAATCATGGTTGGTAATCGAAAACAAAAAAAAACGAAAAATGATCAATTTATAATTATTTATTTTAGTCATCATTCACGGTCACCGTAAAACAAATATTGTTATTCAATTTGGATAGGTACACGGTAGACGAAGAGTGTGAGGTCTCACGATATGCGTAACGTTGAAAAAGCCATGCTGTTCAAGCGCTTAAAAAAATAATATCTGGTTCTTGATCGACAAACGAAAAAAAACGTCGTTCTCTTCTGGCTTTCTGATTTGTTATGCCTACAGATGGCTTATTATCATATTTCTCCATTTCGACTTGATTTCTTTAAAAAAGTGATCCCCCTTTTGCTGCAAAGATCGAACATAAACTTGATATATACGAATTGCTAACGTGGAAACGGTACACCATTCCAGTCCATGATCCGCTTCTTATTTTTAATTTTGATCGCATTTACGCACACATACACACATGGATGCCACAATTCTAACTCTCTCGCGCAATACACCACCATCAACATTTCAATCTCCGACAACTGAACGATACTTACTTCGATTATTAAATGAAACGGATATTTGAAATAAATGTGACAATATCAATTTTTACATCTTTGTTTTCTTTCTACATCGTGATTCACATGTATTCGTATACTGGCCATCGTCTCATTCATAACAAAATCACTTGCAGCGGCATTGTAAATGGATATGCACACGAATATGCATTTGCGTTGATCTGACAGATATCTTGAAGACGATTTGGCGAGTAAATAACAAATAAAATGCTACAAATTCACTTATGGATGATAGCAATAAAGAAACAACATCCGATTTGCAATATATGTGTGCAATGCAATCTCGTCATACTTAATTGCCGGGTGTGTTTTGGTGTGTGAGCTAGTTTTCACAGGCCGGGCATCTTATGATTTGGCATTTGTTTATGAGCATATCTCCTAACGAACGCATGCTTGCAATAAAACCAAAGTGCACATTCGTGAGCAAAAAAAAAATACTGGGAAATGAACGAACAACAAGAAATATACATTGTATAGACAAGTTTGTATGCGAGCCGATAAGTTCTAATATGTGATAAAACCTTTATAAATTATGGCAAATGAACATTACAGATTACACGCATACCGCACGATACCGAAACCGATTATCTGAAGTGTCTTGCAAAAACAAGACGTTTTTTTTCTCTGTCGATTCAATTGGTCGCTTGCATTCGACCAAATCAACTAGATGCATTTTTGCAACATGCTTAAGGATATCAATATCAAGTGAACAACAAGCTGCACAAGAAAAAAAGAAAGATATTCGCACACGTTATGCATGAATACTTACACACCTATCAACTTACACACACGGCGTTCCAAACGGTCACATCTGTTCCAGTCGACGAACTTAACTCTCATCACCATCATCATTGGTAATACGATGACAACAATATAAATAAAACACATATATTCTCTGGTTTTTTTTTCGATAAAATTATGCTCGAATTTTAATACTTGAATTGATAATAATAATGTACAGCGTTTTTTTTAAACTCATCTGTGTGCGTGTATCTGTGTGCTCATTTGAGTGTAAAGATTCTATATCTATCTTAATGCATAATGATATTTAGGTACACATATTATTTGTATTTACAGCATATAAAATATAACTTGATTGAATTCTCATGAAAAAGTAATTGCCAAAACAAAACTGGTTATTTTCATATTAACACGGAATTGCTTGCACCTTGAGCTTGATCGAGCCCAATAATATTCCGAGATTTGTTATGGAAATAACCAAAATTTTTATCTACCGACATTTTCATTTCAAAAGATGAGCATTTATTATTTGAATAGAGATTTTTTCAGTTTCTTCAATTTAATTTTGGGGTGACTATAAACTGAATATAAATTCCAAATAGTTTAGTGGATACATAAAATATATATATAAATAAACTTATATTCAAAGTAATAAGAGTGACAAACATAGATGAGTGAAGAAAATGAGACTTAATAAGGGTTACAAAAAATAAACTCTCAAAAAGACCACATTCAATGGATATGAATGTCATTTTTGGACGGATTTAATAAGGAATGTTTCGTTTATGATTGATTCATTAAAAGATAAAAAATCAACTCAACAGTCTTTGATATAAGAGAGGAAAAAATGTTAAACTTAATAATAGAAAAAGGGACAAGTGCATAATATCAAAAAGTAATCAAGTGTCGACTTTTAAGCCTCCATATAAAAAAAACAATGCATTTATCAGCAATGCTTTTTCGATGGATCAGAGATTATATATACAAGATTCGCAAACTATCGATTCCACTTTCGAAATGATATGAAAAATCGAAACCCCTTAAAAAACTATGATATGATCGGATTCTTTAGTGCCATATTATTTTAGTTACAAGTGATGTGAGTGTGTATTTGTGTGCGTTAGCATAAAATTATGATCGAAGTCATTTGGTATTGAAATGGATATACGAGTATGTTTGGGAAGAGAATATGATATTGTTAATAATGATAAATAATTTGTTGTTGTTGTTGTTGTCGTTATGCGTTCGTCTCTGAAGTAGGATGATGCATGACGGGCGTGCGTATATTAAATGAAATGCAATGGAAAAATTAACATGATGATGATACGACGACGACAATGTCTACATTGACGGATACGGTCATAAGTCAAATCGATCGATCGATCGATCTGTGTGTGCGTGTATGCTGTGTGATATTCTGTCTACATTTTCATTAATCACGGAATATCGTTCGACGATTCTTCTTCGTCTTCTTCTGTGCCCGATGATTCGCCTGACGAACGAAACGGTGTCGATTTCAATTGATCTCGGTTTGGAACGATACCTAGACATTTACCGCATGCACCTTTATTCAAATCACCAGATAAAATAAACATTTTACCACAGCGGACACATTCTTCTTGTGGTTCACCTGCAAATTAAAAGAAACGAAAAGAAAAGAGTACAGAATTCTGTCGTTAAAATCACACATACACGGTACTGGTCAAAAGAGATAACTGGCATTCAAAAAAAATGAAAGAGAACATAAAACATGCAACAGAAATCGATAGCATTCAAAAGTTGTGAAGACACACACACACAATCTGCATGCCAGTTGAATGTGTATGAAAAGAAAGCATAAATTCACGTATATCGCACATATACCGTGTGGTGTGGTATAATACCGAGTGAAAATGGCATCGATATTTCAATCAAAAATTATTTGTTGCCTCTACCAAACCTCAATAAGCCTCATATGGGCACATTTAAGACACACAATTAAAAAATGGAATTATTCCATGAACGTTGAAACATGTAACTACCGAGATACATGTACATTTGTAGTAAATGAGGTTTCTTACACATTTTGCATGCAGTTGCATTATTGTGCCATATGCATAACCAGACGAAATGAAAAAAAAATAAACTAGTTGATTTTAAGTCAAGTTAAAGAAACACTTACCTTCATGTGTTTTCATATGAGCCCGTAAATTACAGGCAAGAGCGAATTTTTTGTTGCACAGCTCACAGGAATGTGGTTTATCACCTACGAAATTTGAATGAAAACATGTACAGATGAGGAAAAAAATCGTATCAAATGAAAAGGTGTGATTTATAGATTTGTTCTAATATATTTAAAAAAAAACTTTTTTTTACTTTATCGTCGAGTAGTTTCGACTGAATTGAACGTGATAAATATTTGATTGTAGTTGAATATAAATGTCGTTGTGGTGTGAAACTTACCGGTGTGCAAGAAGAGATGGTTTTTGAGATTCGTGTGCTTTGAAAAGCCTCTGGAACAGATGTGACATTTGAATGGCCATGAACCACTGTGCACATACATATGCGATTTCAAATCGCCAGGCGTTGGGAAGGATTTCGAACAAAGGCTACATTTATGTGGTTTTTCCTGTATGATTTTTTTTTATGATTAATAAAAAAAGAAATGTTAGTACTGTATTTCATCAAACATTTATTGTTTTGTTACGTATAGAACATTCTCGTAGATTTATGTCGAGAAATTTGTGATGAAATCTTGACATTGGCTTGCCGTGCAGAGTGTGCATTGCATATGCCGTATATTGTTGATCTTAACTTGGACTATCATTGGTCACAATTTCTCATATGAATCAAAAAAATCACTGAGAACGAAATACACGAATGAAAATTTTCCCATTTGATTTGCATAAATACGAGACTACGCCCTCATCGTTCTGGTCACATGATTTCACGACTTTACATTGGTTCAAGCGATGAGCGTTATTCTCTCTTCGCTTTACATTTCTATCATCATAAATAAAATCGTTAATAAAGAATGTTTTCGTTAAGAGATGCAACGAAGCGTAGATTCCCACAATTCTTAAGGTTGTTTGTTTGTCTTTAACTTTGGTCTCTGACTGTCTTTTCTTTCTACTCCTTCACTTTAGTTGTCGGTTGGTGTGGTTTTTTTCTTCGTTGGCGTTGTTATGTCTTCCGACAATTTAGAACGAATTATTAAAATTATAGGCAAAATAGAATAATGGTCACATTGTTCGTTAAAATGTTAAATTCTCGTCGATGTTATTTGTATCTGTGAGTCACACGAAGAATTGAAGAAGAAAAATAAGAAGAAGAAGTAGAAAGGAATAAAAGATTTGACCAAGAATCAAAAAACCAACTATTTTATCCAACCAACTGAACATTTTGTTTTCATTTTCGTTTCTTCAAATATATTTTATTTCAGCAAATACAGACATATTATATCGCGTATGTAAGTAAATAACCCGACCACAAAATACAATCCGCAATTTCACAACTGTATCATAAAATTGCTTAATATTTCATTGGAAGAAGTATAAAAAGTTGATGCCATGCCGCATGCGATTTATATGGGTAGATTTTCATTGTTCTTAAAAATTGATATGATGATTCTTGTCGCTTCACTTTTCATTCGAGGTGCTGTCTTTTGTGTTTAAATGCAAATCAAATATGAAACTGTCTGACTTAACTAACTTAAAATACAAATATGCCATAAGATCATTTTTAGTTGCACTTACCTTGATGTGCGTCATGCGATGATAGTATAAATTCGAACTGGCTGTGAAACGTTTCCCGCACACTTGGCACTGATGTGGCTTTTGTGAGGAAAGAAGAAAAAGTAAAGAATATTGTCGTTAAAATCACATATACACTGTACTGGTCAAGGGGGATAAGTGACATCAAAAAATATGAGTGAAATCAAGTATAAGAAATGCTTACCTTTTCGCCACTATGGATGCGTCGATGTGTGTTCAATGAGCTTGATGTGCTAAATCCTTTACCGCAAACCAAGCAAACATGCGGCTTTTCACCTAACCAAAGAAAATACCAAAAAAAGATATATTAAATTCACGCTTAAAAAATGATCCAATTTGGTGCATTGAGAAACCAGCAAAGGTTTGTTTGTTTTCATTTTCTTTCTTTAATCAATAAGCAAAAAATCAAGCACCATTTGGACGTATGATTAATTTCTCTTGGCAATGACTTTTAAAAATCTCCATTCAATGTAATCTAAAATTCTGGTAGCGCAATCGCCGATTGAACTTGAACATTGTTTTGATGTGAGATTGTTAAAATGCATACAGCCAAATGATGGATGATGTTGTGCTATTGTAGAAAATTATAAATCTAGATAGAATTAAAAGGAGATGAAATAAAAAACAAAAACAAATTTACCGGTGTGAGTACGCATGTGTCGCTTTAATAGAGACGGACGATCGAATGCTTTGCCGCACACTTCGCATGGTAGAAGTGCACGTTCGCCTCGTGTCGGCCGGGCTTTTGGTGATGTGCGTGGCATTGTGATCGATGCATCCATTAAATCACCAGCACTGCTTGCCGCTGATGAAGATGATGTTAGTGATTCGCCTGACACGGATTTGTGCTCGTCTTCACCACCCGACGGCGGACTGATGGGCAGCATCACACGCGATAATAATGACATCGATAAATCGAGCGGTGACTCTGTTTTTTATATAAAAACAACAACAATTTCAATTGAAATGCATAAGAATCAATGTGTTTTTTTCTTCTTCTTCTTATTTTATTCACTCTTTCAAGAGTAATCAATTGAAAAATGTTCAATGCATTCGATAAAGATCGTTCGTATTTGATCGTAAGAGGTAAGCTTGCACACGTACGAAGAGCATGAAGAACAAACACAACAACTCGAAACAGTATCGTTCGATTCCATCAAAACTGAATATTTGGAGCGTTGACGGTATTTTTCATCTTCATACAAACTATCACAAAACGTTCATTGTACTTTGAATAATATGCTTAAGCTGTTTCAAGTATCAAAGCGATGCTGTTGTTCGTACATTGATGTGGTTATCTTTCAACGAACGTATGTGCTTCGGTTGTCTCTGTATGACCACAAAATTTTACATTATAAAGGAGAAAAGGTGAACAATTAATTTTTAATTCACTGAGCTGCTGTTTCAGTCAGCTTCATGTAGTTTGAGCTCATTCTATCGCTTGACTGCGTTAATTTTTACACGCAAAACAAACGAACTTTGATGAGCACCAGCCGCTCTCTCTCTCTTCCATAAAAAGAGTGTGTACGAGAGAGAATTAGAGAGTGAGAGAGGGAGAGCTTTGAATTTGTTGTGGTTGTGCGATGTTGGCCGATTTAAGCGCATTTTTGTGCTGTGTCATTCGTGCATTCTTTATGAATATCCCGATTACTCGTGTTTAATGTGTTGCGACTGTGTGTCGATGATTTTGTTTCTTTTCGTGTTGTTATTGTTGCTGCTGTTGTTCATTTTCGTGTATTCTCTCGCCACTTGATTCGCTCCTTTGTGGTTTGGTGAATTCACCGCGCCACACAAAGCACGGGCGTGTGCGCAATCGTGAGCATCTACATTATGTACAATACAGAAACACACACACAAACACCATTTATTTATTTTATGTCTTGTAATCGCAATAGATTTGTGTGGCAGTCACACGGCAATCGCATCATCAGCATGATCTTCATCACTTTTGCCTCAATATTTGTTCTTTTCGTTCTTATTCACTCATCGACTGGTATTGTATAGCGTCGTTTTTTGGCCTCTGTATTCTTATTTTGCGTTGGCCGAACTGACTATGGTTCGTGCTAGCTGTTTCCAAATCATGATGTAATTTGTTAAATGTTTACCAAAGCCGATCGATGTTCGCATCACAGAGTTGGATAAAGTTTAAGAGGCATGGACGCCGTTGAAAAACACAGAGAAAATTTGATTTGAAAAAGCAAACAAATTAATGAATTGGTTCAGACAGTGAACTGCAGCATGTGCTGCATCATTTGAAACTTCTAAGTAGAGAAAAAAAAATGACCAAAGAACAAGACGTATGCGAAGGAAACGAAAACGACGAAAACGGCGGCCGCAAACAGTTCTCTCAATTATTTCCCTGAGCTACTTAGTTATGCCGATTAAAAGCAATAGCTGAGGTGATGTGTGGAATGCGTTTCATACTGTGACAAGAAATACGTTTCTCTTCACATATTTTCCTCTCCTTTATCCAACTCGTTCATTTTCCAAAGCGTTGCATTTCATTCGACAACAATTTTGATTCTCGCCGCACGAATTTTATGCTGAAGATGAAAAATAAAAAAAAAACGGTAGCTCGTATTGCTCTGTGTACGCGATTATGGAATATGTTCGATACAAGGAATTTGCTATTGGGCGAATTTTTCGGTTTCGTGAAAAGACAAAGTCGTAAAATAAAATATTTGTAAGCAATTTGTCGTCGTTCATCGTTTGAATGGTTCTTTTTGTGTGTGAAAGAAATTTGATTTGGGTTTTTCTTCACTTCAGCATTTTTCATAAGTGATCACGCAATGTATAACGTCGACAACGACTATATGAATGCTGTATTCAAGGTGCCTGAGATTTGAAGTCGAATTCGAATATTTAGAAAGAGAATATTTTAATGAAATAAAGACGATAATCACAAATATCATTGCGATATGATTGTGAAATCTTTATTGTCACGCAACATTTTTTCGTTAATCATAAGGTTCACCAATCATTATGGTTGCTGTTAGGAGTAGCATGAGTAGAACACATGCATGTATGGCTCACTTAAATTTATAAGAAATCGAAACCAATTGTCGAAATAATATTCCAAAGTGTCTAAAAATCGAATGAAGAAAAAAACGTGATACGCTTTGATTTAAGTGGTCAAGACCTAGTGGATAAAACCGAAAAATAATAACCTCAACACCACTTAAATTCATTCCAAAATCTCCGCCGATAATGTTTTAAATGAAAACAATTGCTGCGGTAATACGAACAACGCATTGATCTCAATTACATAGAAGTTATGATGTTATTTTTTTGTTATTAGATTGTGTTGTTAATTTCATACTGTTTTCGAGTATATTTTGTGACATTGTACAAAAACTGAATGTCGTCGTCACTATCCTTGAATTAGCTCCGTAGACATTTTTTCTCAACCTGTTATTATTTGTTTTATAAAAATTCGATCATACCGGAATGAAGTTAATGTCACCTTTTTCAATTATGTGGGTAATTAACACTACGAATAGAATGCATTGTTTTTACTGAGTTTTTGATGATTTCACGTTTAATTCTTATTTTTTCTGCTTACCTTCTAGGATTGAATCCATTGTACGCCGATAGAGTGTGCTTCGCATGTGTACAAATAACAACTCTTCGGGCCGTTCAGCCAAATAATATACAACTAATTCTTGATGTGCAGCGATTGGTCTGTGTATCTCATACACTGGTTCACCGTTCACTTTTGCACAAACTACATTGACCTGTTTGAAAAAAAAAAATCAAAAATATGTTAAGAATGTGTCACAATAAGAAAACGTATCGAATACTAAAACCGAAATATCAATTTGATTAATCTATATCTATAAACTGGTTACACATTCCGCCAACAATTGTTTCGACATATTTTTGATTGAAAACTATTGAAGCGTTTTGATTTTTCTACTCAATCGGTTTTCAAGCATTCAAAATAATGCCTCATTAAATTCTTTCTCTTTTGTCTCAAACTGTCTACTCTATCTTAATCGTAAATATGTAACCAGAGAAACAAAATCAAAGTTGAAAAAAAAAATCTACCTGTGGTCCATATGTCTTAGACACCCTCAAAAATCGGATCCAATTGCAGTGACGCACACGAAAACCATTCGAAATAGAAATTTCATCATATAAACCGAATCTGTGGCGAATCTGTAAGAAAAAAAAAAAACAATAAAAAAATCAGACAAATAATGACAAGTTACAAAAAAATCCGAAAAAACAACAAAGAAATTAATGGAAGAGAAAAAACGAAATAATACATTCGAATAACTCGAACTCAGTTCGAATGGTCAGTCAAGATAATACCAAATGAAGCGTGCACATTTCAAGCAAATCAAATAAAAAAGGTAAACCACAAATTCATCACAATAAATGTAATTTACTCAAGTATTGGAGATGTTCTGCCCGGTTTACCACTTAAATAGCTGTAACATTGCCACTCATTGTGGTCATGGAGAAAAAACCCGACATATAAATGAAGAAAAACCGAACGCCTTTGAAGGTTGCTTAATTGAATGACGGTTTTTGTTTTTCTTTTGCTGAATGGACCTTTTCATGTGTTAAAACTTAGTGGAAAAAAGGCAGCAAATCAATAGCGTTCTCGTGTATTTTCTTTTATTCCTTCATGACAATGAAATGGAATCAATCAAAATGAATCGAGATTGCTGAAGAACACTTGTCAGGTGCTTCAACATTTAGATTACACGTGGAATTTGTTTGTTTTGTCATTTTATTCATTAGCATTGCTTAGAATGTTGTATTTAATTCCTTCTACGTTTCGTTCGTGTTTTCTTTGAGTGCTATTCATATTTCACCTGAGCGTGAAGAAGATGAAAGGCATGTAGTTACGCAAGCTTGTCCTTTTGTATAAGCATAGACGCGCACAATTACAATGGGGGAGTTATTGTTGCGTGTAATATACTGTTTTCGTATCGTGAAACCGTGTCCGTGTGTGCACTTATGCTCTTTACATGTACGCAAATGAGGTTCATTTAACGGTCATTTGAACAAATTCTTTAAAACACTTGGACGGAATAATAGAGGTATCGCACACATAGTTGAACAACGAAACAATCTTAAGCGCCGCCATGTAATTTATGGAACACTTTCATGCATTCGTAATCTTACACGCAATTCAATCAGTTGAGAGCATATCGCATTGTGTGTGTTCTGTATGGTTTGGTGGGTTTCGGTACATTTGTAGGGGCGAAATAAGTGCGTCTTATGCAAATTGATCCATGCAATTATCACCAGGTTAAACAATTATCACAACTTTAAATCGCATTGAAATGTTTTTTAAATGAAATCATAACTTTTTGTAATATGATAATATTAAAATCTGATTTATGTATGAAGATAGTATTATTCAAACAAAATTACGATCGACGATCAATTCATCCGTTTCAAATTACAGTTAAGTATTCTTAAGTTGAGCCTCATTCTTCGAAATTATTCACATATTTCCGTATAATATGATGAATTAGAGAGAGAGAGATCGATCGATTCGATTGAAAAGTTGATGAAATAATTTGTCATGTACACTATTGCTGATGCGTGCAGCCACTTTTGACGAGACGGAACGTGAAGCGATTTAGAAAAACAAAGCGACGAAAACCGGAAAGTGATTTAGCTGGAAGCGTGTATCCAATTTTCCGTTTGCCCATTCACAAACCATAATCATAATAATTGTACGTTATTGTTGCAATAACTACCACGAACATGTATTTCGTTTCTTTTTCTCGGCTCTGAGCCATCGTCCGAATTCATTTAAATCGAAACCAAATTGTTATTCTAACTTGAAGCTAATCATATCGATTCAGGAGTCAAAAAAAATGAATACACTGACATTCTGTATGTGAAATGGCTTAATTCGAAACGTAATAAGAGGAAAAAATGACGCCGAAAAAAATGACAATCGATTTTCATGTTTGTGATTTGTAAGTGTGTTCCAGTATGGAGGAAACGAAAGATTAAGTCAGATTGATAAATGTGCGAGAGAGTGTGGACCGCATTACAGAAGCCATTCCATTGGCAATTTCAAATGTTGAAGAAAAAAAAACGACAAACAGACAATCACAAAGAAATGGAAAGAAATATTGTTAGATAGCTATTATTTCGTTTCATTGTAATTTATCTTGTTGATTTGAAATTTTGGGCGAATGCTTATGAAGTCATTAACTCTTTAAGACGCAAGAATGGGCCCATTCTTTTAAATCCAGTTAATTCAATGCCCAATAAGAACCACTCAAACTGCTGCTGTGTTTCATTTGTAAATGAAGTACAGCTTCATTTTTTTCCACTTTGTTTCTCTTCTTTTTTTTTTGCTGTATCCGATGGTGTTTTGTGTAAAGAGGGGGAGCATTTAGAATGTGGCGTTGTATTCAGTTTGTGACAAGTAATAATTCATTTTCATTATTCTATTCGAATTTGACACGAACTCAAAGCTCCAATTCAATGTGAATTACAGGGTAAGGAATAATATGTTCTGGCAGAAAATAGAACAGCAACAGCAAAACCAAAAGAAAAAAACAACGCATTCAAAAAGAAACAACGAAAGAAAAAAAACCAGTTATACGCGCAACACCGATGAATTTTTTCCCTCTCAACGACGATGGATCGTTTCCTCTTGCGGCCGTTTCAACATTTATTTGGTTCGATTTGCGATCGTACAATCGTTGGTTACAACAACAAAAAAACAGCATCAGTATGGATATCAACTTATCAATGAATCGTAAGAATAAATTATATCCGTGCAGAGCGCGAAATGCGAAGAAAGACTGAGAGAGAGAGAATGATGCAATGGCAGTGAATGGCATAGGCCTCAGTTCGATGTTATTAAATGAAATTGCAATAAATTTTCAAGTGCGCACATTGCGATCGATGGCAAAGCCATTTAGTATTAAACCAATGAAAAAGAATTTATGAATCGAATTGAAGAATAATTGCTGCCGAGTGCGGAATAATGTGGCGTCATGAAATGTGTGGTGCACTGTGTATTGTGCAGCATCTTTCACTCTATGTTTCTTCTTTTCTCCTACTGTGGCGAATGCATCACGTAAACCGTGTTCTGTTCGCATCTTTCTGTCTTCTTTTCTTCCTTTGCCTAATCTATAGCGAACAGCATTCCATTAGGGATTGCGGTGTTGTTTACTAACAGCTTTGAAAAATTGTGTCAGATCGCATCGGTTTGACCGGTTTCATATCGTTCCCTGTGTCTTAAACGGCATAGAAAAAAAACTTACTTGCCACAATCATTAGGGCAAACGTAATCGAAAATGATGCGGATAAAGTTCCATGAAAAATTACATAACGAAAAAAAGGCGATGCACCAAAAAAAAAGAGAGAAGATAATCAATAAACTTGGATGCAGTAAGCGTTGAAATTTTTTTGGCAATTCTGGTGTAACAAGTCAAAGACGAAGAGAAAAAGATAGCAAAGTGAATTCCGGTTTTGGTTTATCTTCAATCGACCCAACCTAATGACTGCAATTAAGGCGCACCACACATGCATCAGGTAGAAAAGTTATTTCGGGTTTTCTTCTACACCTTAAAGAAATCAGTCTAATTAATCCGGAAACAACAGCGGCAACAACAACAAAAAAGAATTCGATGTGCCATATTGCTTTGAAATTTCCAACTATTGGCGCGCAATCCATCGCGATCGAATGTCTGTGTACGTATCAAACGAAGAAAAAATGTGCACCTGCTAAATTGTCGCTGCTTTTTTTGGACGCTCAGAATGTTTTAATGATTACAAGTAAGAAGGGAAAAAAGAACGGGAGACGAGAGTAAAGGCGAAAAAAAAACACGAGAGACAGAAGAAGAAATATACGCTATAAATCAATACAATTTCAGGTTGCATGCTTCGCATAGACAATAAATGCATGAGACGAGAAGGGAACTTGTTGGTGGTTTGATTACCACGAACCTTTTTGATTTGATGTTTTTGGAATTCGTTTAAGCCATCGATCCATTTTCTGATTTTTACTGTTTTTTGATTGACGTTTCGACGTCACGATATGTCAGCATTTCGGTGCATATACATAGCATTATTATGAGAACCAAATCGGATTCCGTTCAACGCCAAATGCGACGTATAGTTTTTCGGTTTATGGGATTTTTATTTGTTTATTTTTAAATTGATAGTGTTTCGATTTCGTGAGTCTGATCATAGATCGTAAGGCACATAAAAAATGGTAAAGGGACATGCCTTTCAAAATATTATATCTAATCCAATAGCGATTATAAGTCTAACATTTTTTCGAATCTCGCTATTAAATATTTTTTTTAACATCCGCTGTGAGAGTATCTCACAGCGATTACAGAAAATCATCATGAGGGTAGAATACAATTATCCTTTGAAAGAAAGAAGAACAAATCATCAATCCGAATGATCCTAAATTGTATAAAAAATATTCGGGGCCATATAGTATAAGTTAATTGTATTTTAATATCGATATAAAGGTGTTTCTTCTCTTTTTTACTTTATGCTCTTTTTGAAAATTAAAAATCACCTCCTTTGAATCACCAGTAAGTATTTGCTTGGAATTTTCGAAAAAAAAGACCCACCAAAATAAGAATGCACCTGACCTTATTATATTGTGATATACAATATATTGATACAAGAAAATGCCGAAGAATATGGAGAACGAAAAAAAGTATAAAAAAGAATGAATAAAAAGTTGATGGTTGATCAATCGATCAATGAACATCATGGGTAGCGAAGAATTTGTTACCTGCATAAATGAATATCGTGAAGAAGACAAATGCGTAAGACATTTTCGTCAATATATTTCAATGATGCAGCTACTTTTTGCACTGCACAATTTCAATTTCTTTGGATCGGAAATGAATCACAATTGTGTGGATGTCAATTTATGTACGACTGGCGCACACCAATTTTTGGCAACACAATAACCATGAAAAGAATCGATAAATAGGCGCACACCAATTTTTTTTTGTTGCACAAAACAAAAGTTCATCAAGCCATTGATCGTTGTTATACCGCTATCTTTGCCCCTTGCAATTGCATTCCGTGTCAATTATAAATAAATAATCATTGCGTATTGAAATCAAATGTTGTTATTTTATGTGCGTAGACGTTATTCACTTTACCGATCATCTTCATTCTGCGTTGAGCGCAGTACTTTT